TAATCAAACTAGTATGACCATAGCGGTCATTGAGAACACAGTCTCAAATGACTATTCACTGAAACATCGCTCTAGATATTTAGCCAGCGTGGAGTACTTCCACGCTACTAGATCCATGCTAGACGAATCTTCCACGCGTTCCGGTTTAGGATTGTGGAGATACGTAGGATTACTACCGCAACCTACTCTATCACACTTTATAGTCTCCCGCGGGAGACCAGATCTACGATCCCTTGATGATGATCTCTCTCGTTGATTAGTTTTCATAGCTTTCTAATCTCTCTCATAACTTTCATTCTCTCAAACCCAAAACACTCGAAAGATCTTTACACTAGCTTTTAGCGTAGTGCAAGACCACAATACCAACCAACCAACCAACCAACCAAGCACCATACCCGTACTGTTACAGACAACAATATCAATATCAATAGTAACAATAGTCAACATGCCTGAGGCAAGAATTGAAACAGTTCCCATCCTCCGCAATGGTGGCCGCGGCAGAGGCCGCGGCCGCAACTCCAATGGTCGTAACACCAACGCCAACAGGAACAACCAGCGCGAAGATGATGGCTCCCCCAGCAGGAAACGAACTGCCTTTGATCCATCCGCGATCAATCCTCAGACATACCAACCCGATGCAACACAAAAGGACTCACGAGTGGCCCCACTGCAAGCCGCCCTGAATTTCCTACATGGCACCACTGCGACGCTCCATGAGGCATACCACCGTACTGTCAACAAAGTAGGAGAGGAATTTATCAAAGCCTTTGCGGCACACCAGCGCAACAAGGACACTCTCGACGGTATGATTGATGGCAACAACCAAACCGGGGAATTGACCCCGTCCCGGATTCCAAAATCAGTCGATATCAAATTCGAACTGAAGGCTGGCAATCCAGCAATGGAGAGCGATGAGAGCTTCCAAGCTCTCCAACAAGAATCCACACAAGCTGTTGAACTCTACAAACAAACCCAAGCAAAAATTCTCATTCGAAAGAAACAACTGGACGTCCAATATGCTCAAAAGGCCATAGCCGAGTCCCTGGCTAGAGGCCTTCTGTCCATCGCCAATGGCCACAAGGTCATCTGCGGCAGAGAGAATCTCAATGGCCATGCAATTGTCAACACCATCTTGGAGGCACACCATGAGGTGTTGCTCGAACACACTGGCATTGACCTAGCAACCTTTAGAACAATATACATTAACGTCCAAGGTCTCGCAACACTGCCTGATCCATTACCAGTAACTGATATTCAGCATCAGCCTCAGCCACCAGTGGCACCCGCCAACACATGCGCCTGTCCAGCCAGCAGAGCCCCTGGCTCCCCACCTGCAGGGGCCCTATTCCATCGACCAACTGACTGCTGTCTCCAGCTACAGCGACCTCGAGGCCACCCAGGAACACATTCAGCGATGCCTAGCCGCTGAACTTGCCTCGCAGTTGTGAAGAAATTCATCCACCAGTTTGATTTCTGGCTGTGTCAACCACGCTTCCGATACAACCGCTGAACTTGCCTCGCAGTTGTGAAGAAATTCATCCACCAGTTTGATTTCTGGCTGTGTCAACCACGCTTCCGATAGAATGTTGGACGGGGATTGCGGGAGGGATGCCTTGTTTGATGGACTCTTTTTCCAGAGGATAGCACCACGGATCGAACAAACAAAGGGCATTGGGGAGCTTGCGTGTTTGTTGCACTGCCTTGATCATTGTGGCTCCACCAAACGAATATCCGACAAATGCGAGTCCTTTGGAAGCATCTCCCCTGCGTGTACGTCTTGCAGTAATTTAGGACAGGAAGGTTCGGCCTGAGGCCACCTGGCACGTAGCACCTGGCGTGGGATCCTGGATCTTTACACCCACCACCAGCAACACCAAGCAAAATCACGAGCCAACGCTTTACTAGTAGTACTGGTACTCTGTCAGTGCTTTACTCAATGTTGGAGGTTGTATTACAGACACCTCAATACAAATTATTCGTTTATCCCAATCTAGTTTAGCGGGGATATCTATATCAATTCTCTAGTTACATACATGGGAAGTTTAACTGATCTATATGGTCACCCCTTCACTAGATCCTTTGAAGTTGAATCAATCCCAGAAAACATGGAGAAAGATCACTTCTTGGAAATAGCTTGACAGTAAAACCCTTTGACCTTTACTAAGCTAGAGTGTTACTAGCAACCAACACTATTTCCAAGAAGACTCTCGAACTTCATCTCGAATTCGAGATCTCGCCAATGGGATATTGACTATTGAGTCCAATGCTATAGGTAACCAGTTCAACAAACGGTACAGACAGAAAGTGCTGGAGCCCCACTATAAGGGCTACCAAAACAGCTCCACAGGCGAAATTCCGCATCACGAAATCGAATCGGGAGCCAAATCCCTCACACAGTACAGTGACTACACCGGAGGAGCAATCGAATGACTTCCAGCCTGAACCGGAACAAAGTAAGAACACCAGTGGCAAGAGGAGACTTTACTGACAAAGTTACATGCTTGTATTGTCTCTATGCAACAGAAACTGACTGAGCAACGTACGATTGAAGACCTGCTACAAGCAAGTGAGAAGAACCGGAGCTACTAGCTAGTACGGTACGGAGGACCAGTCCACAAAGAAGAGCGCAAGCAAAGCAAGCTCACAGGAGTGAGCGAATACGAAGAACGGCTTCCGGTGAGCCGGAGCCAAGGAGGCTAGCTACTGTACGGAGCAGAGGCTGCCGTACGGAGCAGAGGCTACTCAACAGGCAAAGCTCCGCACGAGTGTCGAGGAGCACGAAATTGCCTTACACGTTCCTACAGAACGGATCGACTCCCAGTCAACCGGAGGACAACCGGAGCATAGCACGTCAAAGAGCATCATTAACTACACCAGTTCTATGCTTTAAAAGATACGAATCCAGCAAGAACTGATTGAGTTGCGGCTGATTGAAGATCTGCACGAAGCAACAGCTCCAGGAGCGAGCTCTGGAGCACGAACATCCCACTCACAGAAGTGAGCAAGAGTGGCGACAAGAAGGGTTGCCACGAAGACGCCAAGCTCACAGGAGTGAGAGAACAGCAGCTCATAGTACGAGCAAACGTACGGAGCAAGAAGCAAGCTCACAGGAGTGAGTGAATATCAAGACTTTGGGCTGCGCAAGACAGCCATCGTATGACATTGTCCACACGAAAACCAACTACCCCAAGGAGACTTTGAGCTGCGGAAAAAGCCATTGTCCGACTGCTACGTGCAGGTACGAAAGACAACTACAAGAGAAGACTCATCGCACGAAGAAGTGCAGGAGTGGTAGTCAAGCTATCTAGCTAGCTACCATAACAAGTTCCAACAGGAAGCGATAAGTACCACAGAGGTACTTCCGTGGGAGTGCTCCTATCCTCAACAAGAGAGCCATCGAAAGAGGCTACTAGAGGAGAGGTGCAAAACCTCCAGTGGCACGAAACCAGCCAAATTGCCAGGCCGGTTACTCGAGAACGACAGGTCCTACGGAAGGACTGTCATACACGGAAGTGGGCTATTATACTGTCAGTGACAGGCCCTGAAGAGTGCAAGTGCGCGAATGCAACAGGAACCAAGTTGCATCCACCGGCGCATTCAAACAAAATTGAAAGAAAACCCAACAAGGGTAGGCAGTCAGCGAACAAAGTGATTAATCGCACGAACGACGCTACTGCTACCGCAACGGCAGTAAGAACAACGACCGCTAGCTAGTACTAGCAGGTCAATACTGACTGCTCCGTCCAACAAGAGCGGAAGCAACTGAAGCAACAGCCAGTCAACGATCGGATCAGGGATCGAATGACGACAACTACAGCTGCTACCGTTGCAACTGCTACTGCTACTTTTTCAAGGGAAGCCGAAAACCGAAGCGCTTCCCCTCTGGATCTGTCACTACAAGAACAACAACACTAATAGCAACAAACACAACCAATCGGTCATACCTATACCATTACACTACCTATTAGCACCATTAGAAGCATTGAAACGAAGCGAAAGGACCTCCGGAAGCCTGTTGTCTGTTATCTTGTTGAAGAGTACTGTTTTACTATAGGATTCACCTCAACGTCATCACGGAAAACACACATCCCTTTTTTCCTCTCTTTACAACCTCTTCAAGCCGAAACGGATCGATACCTCCTATCTCCTATCAAGCGCACCTCCCCTATCAAGCGACTATCAAGCGGCCTTCTCCGGTCAGATAGAAAGCCATCCCATTGAAATCCTACGAGATCGGCGGGTTTTCTATTCTCGACCCCGACGGCCAAGTTGGAAGAATTGACCACAAGAAGAAGTCTCCGGCCTTCCACAGCAAAGTACAGAAAACAATTCCCATACGTATCATTTTGCTTTCTGAACTAAGCTCCTGACGGCCGAAGAAATCCCATTGTTCGCTCCTCTTTTTCGAACGATCCATCTTCCTCCGACACACCAGGATCGTTAACCTTACCCCTAAGGCAACTGACCACCCGAATCGCGAACGATTCGAATCAATCGAAATCGAATCGAATCGATCCAAGACCGCTACTCCGTGAATCGACAATCTTCCCGCGACCGTACCTCTTCCTCCGTACGCAACCTCCTATCATCAGAAGACTTCACGAGATACCTGAGTGACCACCGAGAAAAGAATTACACCTGTATTCTTACTTTCTCATCGGCCACTAGTGGTTTCTCCCGACGTTCCTTGTTGGAACTGATCCTACTGATCCAACCATCCTATCCTATACAGACTGAGTGACGATCGACACCTGCTACTGTTACCACCCCTCCATTGATATCTAACTCCTCCCAAGAGGAACACAAACAACAACAGAGTTCCGTAAGACTTGAGTTCTTGTATCTCCAGCTTGGCTGCATTTATTCGAGTTTCCACAGCCCCTCCCTGAGATACCCAGCTCCCCTCCAAAGGATCCTACCCCCACAAGAACAACTACAAAAGCTGCCCCTCTAGCGTGTTTGGCTAGATTGTGAACACTTCATTGACACAGCACCCTCTCTGCTACTGCACCTGACTCCTACTGAGTGTGTGCTCCAAAGATGAGCCCCAGACAAACTGCAGCGTGGTGTGGCATAATATTAATACATAACTGTCTCTTCTCTCTCTCATTTATTGTGAGTGACTCTTCAGTGACTTTCCACAGTTCCACCTGAATCGAGTACCCTCTCCACATCTTGGCTTGACTCTCTGTTGCATGATTGACCCTACAACAGATTGAGACCAGCCTTGAGACACACCAGTGTCATCCAGTAACACAGCCCATCAACCAAACAACACCCCTTGATCCCCCCCACTGCCTCTACTGGCTATAGCGTGACTTCTCCAGTTTTCCTGAAAGAATCCCTAACAGCCTTTGCTCTGATACCATCTTCTCCTGCAGGTAGTGGTATACCTGCACCAGACTTGGCCACAGCCTTGACCAGGGCAACAACAACCCACAACTTGATATAAACCTGATTACCAGTGCCTCAGTGCATTGCCCTTGAATAACCCTTCTACATCAATCATCATCGCCACTCACAAGCAACCTCCATGCTTGCGTTGAGCAACGACACACAGTCATACTCAGGATACACAACCTCACACCCACCTACACCCACCATGACTTCCCCATGTCTACCCACTACCTTCACTCAAACCCAAGGTCTCCCAGACATTCCCCCACTCCCACACTTCACCCAACCCACCACATCCACCATCCTCGCAGACTACACAACACCAATCCCCAGATGATCAGCCAACAGCTCCTAGAGCATGCAGCCATCTTGAGATCACACCCTCCGAATCACACCCTACCCTATCAGGGAGGATGCCTTTGTTCTCACCCTTGAACAGAGGCACGCCTCTATCCTACAAACACACCATCAACCATTTACATCCCAACTCCTACACAAACACTCCAACACCAACAGGATCTCCCTCCTGCCCCTGGCACCAGCCCACTCCAGTGCCCCCTTATCCTCCTTCTATTGACTCAACAACCCCCGAACAGCCCACAACACTCCAGCAGCCACTGTGCCTCCCTCCTGGGAACCACACACTGCCAGTGTGTCATTTGACCCCATCTTCTGCCTGCTTGTTGGCCTCTATCTATACAATTTTTGTGCATTGGATGGGTTACACCCTGCTCTGGTCCAGCCTGAGGAGTACCACCTCCTACGGGCTCTGCTGGCATCTTGCCTTGCATGCCAAGGCCCTTGCCACAGCTTGGGACCTGATCACCCAGACACACTTACTGGCGAGCACTCTTTGGTCTGGCAATCTAACTGGTCCTCACGGTCCCTTTGGTGATAATGGTTTCAATACCGACAAAAATCCTGTGTAAGCCCCTGTAACCCAGGTTTTGCGCTGCAGGTTCCCTATCAATGTACTCACCCCCCTACCCAGGGCATCTGTCTACTTGGTGCTGGCTCCACGTTGGGCCAGTG